GCTGCCTACACCTTGCCTATAGGGAAAGAATGGTACCTATTCTATCCTTAGATGTTATTGGTGGTATTGTTAGCATATTCATCATGAATATTTAAGTAAAATGCCAATTTTTTAATGTGTGAGTGATTGTTTAAAAAATAAATTAAAGCCAGGCCAGCCCGGTGGCGCAGCGGTTGAGTGCGCACGCTCCGCTTCGGCAGCCCGGGGTTTCACAGGTTCGGATCCCAGGCGCGCACCGACACACTGCTTGTTAAGCCATGCTGTGGCGGCGTCCCATACAAAGTAGAGGAAGATGGGCACGGATGTTAGCCCAGGGCCAACCTTCCTCAGCAAAAGAGAGGAGGATTGGCATTGGATGTTAGCTCAGGGCTGGTCTCCTCACAAAAATTAATTAATTAATTAAATTAAATAAATTAAAGCCCATTCTGAAAGCGGGGAGACCTAAAGGACCCCACCTCCTCATTCAGCTGCTGTGTATTTCCCTCTTCCTTTTAACAACCAAACTGTGTTGTCTCCACTTCTTTACCATCTGTTCACTCCCCGGGTCACTCAGTCCGGCTTTCTGCACCCCACCAAACTGCAACGTAACCATTCTTGCCAAGGTCAGAGACATTCTCGTTGCTACATCCCATGGACACTTCCCAGCCCCTTTCTCACTCGAATTCTTGGCAGCGTTTGACACTGCCCATCACTCCTTCTCGGAACACATTCTTCTCTTGGCTTCCTGGCTCAGTGGCTCCATGGATTTCCCCCTCCTTATGTCACCACTTTTCTTCATTCTCCATAGTGCAATTGTCCCCCACTGCCTGTCCCCTTGAATGTTGGCCTTCCTCAGCGTCCTGTCCAAGTCTCTCTTTTCTTGTTCTACATACCCTACCTGGGCAACTTCATCACTTCCAAGGTGCCCGTGACTAGCCAAAGATGCTGATAACTTTCATATCTATTTCTCCAACCTCCATCTCTCCCCTAAGACACCATAGTCCTGAACCTAATTCTCAGCCTCAGCTTTTGAGGCTCAGAAATTTGGTTTACCAGCACTTCCAGAATGACTTTCTCTCGGGGAAACTAAGTTATAATTGTCACATAGTAAAGACCAAAGATGTTAGGGGTTGTTTTCACCGCACTGATATTATTGGTGGTATTGTTAGCATACTCATCACGAATATTTCAGTAAAATGCCAATCTTTTAATGTGACTGATTTTTAAAACAATAAATTAAAGCCCATTTTGAAAGTGGGGAGACCTAAAGTGAAATGGCTCATCGTGCCTGATTGCCATTATGCACAACAATGAAACAAGGTTCCATGACTCTGTCCTATTTAGGGGGAAAGAATGTGTAAAACGGCACACCTTCAGTGTATACTATATTTTTGAGCTTCAACTCAAGGTTAGAATAAAGGTAAAAATCAAAGTCAACCAAATGTAACCCCAAAGTAATTGAACCTTCTTCGCTCATCTTATCTCCTCTTAAGGCCAGTCTCGACTCTGACTTCTCATATAACTTGAAAACGTATGATGGTTTAACGAACATTTCCTGCAGAGATGGAGGAGGCAACTATCTTATGTATCAGAAAACTATGGAGCAGCCTGGTGGCGTAGCGGTTACATTCACGTGCTCTGCTTTGGCGGCCCAGGGTTCGCAGTTCCAGACCCCGGGTGCAGACCTACACACTGCTCATCAAGCCATGCTGTGGCAGCGTCCCACATACAAAACAGAGGAAGATTGGCACAGACGTTAGTTCATCAATGATCTTCCTCAAGCAAAAAGAAGAAGACTGGCCACAGATGTTAGCTCAAGGCCAATCTTCCTCACCAGAGAAAAAGAAAAAAAAAGAAAACTTCCCTTTCAAAGCTCTTTCCTCAAAATCTTCCTCTCTCCTCAGCAGCTGAATCCCCTCTCTCTCCTTCAACACTCTCCTCACCAGCCTCTCTTCCCATGGCTGCTGCTCTTGCTTTCTTCCCTTCGTAAATTTTTAGTAGACGATTTACAACTTTGTCCATAGAGTTCTGCTTTGTCTTGCTTTACACAGAAATATTACTACCTCCATTACTTTGCTCTCAGGCTAGGTAAACTTTGCTTCTGAATGTTCCTCCCATCAAGCTCCATATTTTGAGTGGGTTCTTCTGCTGTAGACATCAACCCTCAGCTCCCACCCCCAATCTCCTGAAATAATCTCTCTTCCTGGGTATCATTTCCAGGGAAACAACTACAAGCAACTGCAGCAATTGCTCTGATTAACTGTCAAGTCCCCTAGCGTCTTCTTTCTCACCCTCTTCAGCGCTTGGTGATTTGGGAATGCGGGGTCACACTTCCTGCCCTACTGCCCTAGGTGCTTAGAGAAGAGTTAAGAGCGGCATGGCTCTGGCCCTGCAGTACCTGCCTTTGAACCCCACCCTCACTATTATTAGCTGCCTGATATTAGGTAGATTTCCTAGGCTCTCTATGGCCCAATTTACTAATCAGCAACATTGCAGAAATAACAGTACCTTCCTCCCAGGGTTACTGTCAAGGTTAAATGAGATAAATCAAATGATGCTTACTGGCTCATGTCCAGCCCTCAATGAGTATAAGTTACTATTACCTCCCTCCTTCCAAATTCTGCTTCATCATAACATTTTATTCTTAAAACCATTGCAAAAACAATACATACAACATCTTTTGTCTAAGTACACACACACACTCAACATTATTCATTCATAATACCTAATAAATTGCAAAGGAAAGTCTCACAACATGTCAAAGTCTTTAGATAAAGGAAAACTCCTAATAATCTGTGCTTTAAAATGATGCATCCATGCAATGCTCTTGAAGCAGCTGGGTTCAGTTCATGGTAGCAGAACAAACTCAAATGGGGGTGGAGAGAGCCCAACACTTAACAGTGGATGCAGTGCTTTTAAGTACCTGAGCTCCTTTAATACTCCCCACAGCACTGAGAGGTGCCATTATTACCCCAACATTGCAGATGTAGGAACCGAGGCCTGCAGAGGTTAGGAAATTTGCAGAAGAGACACTAGTCGCATCAGCAGGACAGAGTGGGATTAGAATCCAGATCTTCTGACCGAATGTCTTCTGACTCCCAAATCCTTTTGCTATTTGACCATGCTGAGTAATAGGCCCATTTCACTCTACTTAGTTCAGTAACTAAAACAGATGATTAGAACTAATATCAGGAACAGTTTCGTTAATCATTCAACACTTACTGAGCAAACTCTGGATGTGGCAAATGAGGGAAAAGCTAAAGAAAAATAGATCTTTGCCCTTTAAGAGATTAGTTTGTAATAAAGGAGACATGGCTGTGAGCAGGAAACATACTCAGGGACTCTTACAAGGCAACACACAAGCTCTTCTGAATTGTAAGTTGCATGCTATTTCACACTTTAATGTCTCTGGATGCTTTCAAACCAATTGAATGTCACAGTTTATTGGGTAGCATTTGTTTTCTTTCTTGGTGGCACATAAAATAACAGTGCCTCATAATCAATGGCATCTTAGAGTCAAGAAACTATAAAATAATCAAATGGCCATTTATTTCATAGCAATCAACAAATCTTTACTTATCAGAAAGTAAATCTTTTTATGCCTAGTTAATAAAGTTAATATCTGTTGCAAAACTAGAGGTCATCAGTATCACTTTTATCGATCCCCACTGGCTGGCTCAGGTTCAAGGTCCTCTCTCTCAAGAGGCAGACACAGCAGAAAGTCCCTGAGCCTTGGTTCAGAGCAGCCTGCACAAATTAGGCTAACAATTTCAGGTGATAAAGTAACCAGTGGGTTAAACTTTCATAAAGAATAATACAGGCAGAATATTTGAATAAACAAAGTGGTACCTGAGTTCAGACAGAAGAACCACACAGTGTTCCTGGAGATACAGTGAAAGCTGCACTTTCAGAGAAGTCAAATTTCAAGGAGTGAGTTAGAAGGGGAAGATGTCTTCATGAAGGCATCAGTGGCTCAGGAGCAGAAACGTACAGAGGATGCCTGTAGACCTGTCAAAGGGGGTGACAGGCTGCAATAAAAACATTATGGATGCTGACGCCACAGTCATGTATTCAAATCCTGGCAAAGACGCACAGTGGTTTTTGACCTTGGGAAAGTCAATTATTTTGAGCTTCGGGTTCCTCCTTTGTAAAATGACTATAAAATATTTATGTTTAGTGATGAGAGGAGTAGAGATAATATTCGTAAAATACTTGGCAGGAAGAGCAGGCACTCAGTAAACGGTAACAAAACTGCTTAGAAGGTTTTGAATAGAAAAAGTGAATGAGCAAAGCCGCGCTTTGGAAAATGAACGGGGAATCTGTGATTAAAATGGACTGGAGGAAAGCTGTTAAGTAGAAAACTAGTTAAGATGCTTTTTCAATCGCCCAGATGAGAGGTCGGGGACGGGGGGAGGGGCACAAACTAGGGCATCTGTGGTGGAGAGGCGGCAGTCGGCAGTCTCAAGGGGCGGGGGGCTACAAACACTGTGACCCTGGACTATGCAGTCGAAGCCAGGGTCAGAGCCTTAGGCTGGAGCCCGGAAAAGCACGCGAAGAATTCGGAGGCTGCGAAATCTGGCGCCCCGGTACCTGAGTTTGGACTCGGCAGTGGACAGAACAGGGCGGGGGATTAGGAAGTTCTCCACCACCGCTGCCTAAATCCTAAACGGGGGAGAATCTGTTTCCAGGCCCCCCGCGAGCAAGTCAGACTCAATACAGGAGGAGGAAGGGCCGGCGGAGGATGCCCGGCGGCCTGGGGTCCGCTGGCCCGCTCCCTCCCCGGAACCCTG